GTACACATTTTAGCCACAATTTCCTCCAAGCAAGTTCAAGATCCTGTTAGTCACTCCCTCCCAAGCCTTACCTATAAAGTTTATGCAATTGAGGATACTAAAGTGATCTTTCCAAAACTCTCTTAGGGTCAATCGAGGGTCTGAGGTCACTTCAAAGCACTTTTGAAACATTGCTTTGGTGTACAGTTTTTTGAAGTTTGAAATGACCTGCTGGTCCATGGGCTGGAGGAATGGAGTGATATTAGGAGGCAAAAACTTCACTTTTATGAAGCTCAACTCCCCCAAAATTCGCTCTGGCAAGTCTGAAGGATGAGCAGGAGCATTGTCTAATAGCAGGAGGCACTTAAGGTCCAATTTATTTTCCAGAAGGTAATTTTTCACAGTTGGGCCAAACACATGATAAAACCAGTCATAGAAAATGTCCCTAGTGACCCATGCCTTACTGTTTGCCCTCCACATCACACACAAATTAGCCTTGATGACATTGTTTTTCCTGAACACTCTGGGAGTTTCAGAGTGATACATGAGTAAAGGCTTCACTCTGCAATCCCCACTAGCATTACTGTCTTTCAAAGGCTTGTGTCCTGGCAGTGCTTTTTCCTCCTGTGTAATGTAGGTCCTGTTTGGCATTTTCTTCCACAACAGGCCTGTTTTGTCACAATTAAACACTTGTTAGGATTGCAATCCTTCAGCCTTTATGTACCCCTGGAATTCCTGCACATATTTTTCAGCTGCTTTTTTGTCAAAACTGGCAGCCTCACCATGCCTTATCACACTGTGTATGCCACTACGATTCTTAAATCTCTCAAACCAACCTTTGCTGGCCTTAAATTCACTCACATCACTAGTTGCAGGCCTTTTTTTTTTTTAATTAGATCGTCATGCAACTGCCTTGCCTTTTCACATATGATTGATTGAGAGATGCTATCTCATGATATCTGTTTTTTGTTTATCCACACCAATAACAGTCTCTCAACATCTTCGAGTGCTTGCAATCTGTTTCGAAAACATACTTGCACCTTTCGCAACAACAGCTTCCTTGATTGCCTTTCTGTTGGCCAAGATAGTAGCATTGGTTGATTGGGGTTTGATATACAACCTGACCAGCTCGGAGACACGCACTCCACTTTCATACTAATTAATTATCTCCTTCATTTCAATTGTAATTCTCACCCTTTTTACCATAGGGTTGGCACTAGAAGCTTTCTTGGGGCCCATGGTGGCTTATTTATCAGTTACAAGCACTAAAACCACTGGAATAATACAAAATGTACTGAATGTATGCGTAGAAGCGACCGTACTGGCCTATAAACACTGGCACACTAACTGAAGGCAGGGCAGCTAAGGCGTGCTCAGGCCAGATGGGACACGTGGATGCGTTCGGGATGAATCATGTTGGTCAAGTTTTTCATCGTTGGTCGGGCCAAAGTTTTTACACTCAAACACTTCGTTAGTCAAATTTATCGTTAGATGATGCCTTCCTTGGTTGGGGTCCACTGTATCAGCAATATAAAATTATATGAAAGATAATATAAATCAAATATACAATATATACATTGGGCCCCATTCAGGGGGCACAACATTTACAGACTAAAAGTAACTTGAAATTGAGCTTGAAGTACTGGAAATGTTCCATTTTTACTGATGTTCAGGAGTAAACAAATTATGTCAAGTGTCCAGTACATGTCAGCTGAATAGCAGTAAATCCTCTATTTTTTCTGTGAATAAAAATTCAAAATGGAAAGCAAGCATAATACAAGAGGGGCTGGAGATGTGACTAATGAACAGAGAATATTATTTTAGTTCCAGGAGTGTCTGCATTGTTTATTCTAGACCCTATTTTGAAATTGGCCTCTCTTGACTTGTGTGAAATTGACCAGTTTAGTAATTTCAGATCACTTTATTAGGTAGTTGAAATAGGTAAATGGGCAGTTTCCTGTATTCACTCAATAGAATGAAAGGAGTTCTAGCAAAGTAGCTATAAGTTTGGGCAACAAGAACAATGGAATTAGTCCAAAACAGGGCTCAAATTGGGCGAAATCGCAGATACGTAAATATCGCCTTAACCGCTAGCTTTGCGTTAGCATCATTCCATAAGTTATCCATCAAATTTTGTACTTTGGTTTCATTACCTTCGGAAAAAAATTCTCTTATCATTTCAAAAGTTTTTTTTTTTTTTTTTTTTTTTTTAATTCTTCTACCCTGGGAGTGTTTTCAATTGACAACCAAGAGCATGTATGAAAACCAGGACATTTTTTCTCATTCCTTGTTCGAAAATTGTTTTGCTCAAGAAGTAGTGTGTTTGACAACCAAGGTTCCGCTGTATACAATAGGGCCCCACTTATACGGCAGGTTAGGTTCTAGGCCACCGCCATAAAGCGGAAATCGCCGTGAAGTGGAACACCCTTTTTTTCCCCTTATAAATGCATACAAATACTAGATAACAAGTTTACACTAACATATATTAAGTTAGCAATAGAACTAAGCATCAAAAAACAATAAAAAAGTAAAATACACACACACAGTGCACTCATTACTTACCTTAAAATATTTATAGTCTTAATCTAGGGTGAGATGAGTAGTATTTATTGTAAGAAATCAAGTGTGGTATGTATGGTAGTCAGCCAGGCTACCATACCAGGCCACCCCATCTACACATAATATTCTATGATATTTAAGCATCCCAGAGCGATAAAATGCATATACAGTTCACTCATTACTTACCTTAAAATATTTGTAGTCTTAATGTAGGGTCAGGAGTGAGTAAACAAGATAAAACGAATAAATGAGAGAGAGAGAATGAGTACATGAGAGAGGACAGGCGCAGAGTTATGTAAACAAGCCAGGTGGACATAAGTTTTGTAAACAAAGTTTACACATCTGGTTTGTGTACAAGTTACATTGTGTACAAGTTGTCTCTACATTGATACGGTAGAATAAATAAAGAAGAACACTCCCATTCTCACGTAACACCATTTTTAGAAGGAATGACGCTCTGAGTGAAGGCAATGGAAATAAGTCACTCTGTCTGACTTTTTTGGGTTATCCTAGGTTCTCTACACATATGCTGTTATGTATGATAATCTATGTAACTATATTTGTGTATACCTGAATAAACTTACTTACATACTTACGAAAAGAATAATTTTCTCCAATTACCCCAGTAACACATTTTCTCTTATGTCAGACTAGAGAAAGTGTTATTCTTGCTGTCTCTTGTACAAGTTATATCTGGCTACCACATCTCATATTTATGTTTATTTATTCTATTGTGGGGTGTATTTATCATCTTTATATGTTATGTATCGTGTTTATTATATAATTTTGAAAAAATATCATGGATGGATTAATGAAAATGTGTATATTAACGTAATATACGACATTTAATGAGACTCGGTGATTATTATTATTATTATTATTATTACCATTTCTAATATGTCGTCATTTGTGCAAGTCATCTGCTACCACATCTCATATTTTTGTTTATTTATTCTACTGTGGGGTGTATTTATCGTCTTTATATGTTATGCATCGTGTTTATTATATAATTTTGAAAAAATATCATAGATGGATTAACGAAAATATGTATATTAACGTAATATACGACATTTAATGAGACTCGATGATTATTATTATCATTACTAATATGATGTCTCGAGACATAAGACACTCTTACTGATTTTAATGTGTACCTGCACGCCAGCACAGTATGTAAGTTTATACAGTGGACCCCCGTTTAACGATCACCTACCAATGCGACCAATTATGTAAGTGTATTTATGTAAGTACGTTTGTACGTGTATGTTTGGAGGTCTGAAATGGACTAATCTACTTCACAATATATGTATTCCTTAAGGGAACAAATTCGGTCAGTACTGGCACCTGAACATACTTCTGGAATGAAAAAATATCGTTAACCGGGGGTCCACTGTATAGGTACAGGTATACATAAGTATAATTATCAGAGTATATATAAAATATGAAATAACTTTTAAACACACTTGAAATTTTGTTGTTTCCAGACATAATGGAGAGACTTAGTGCTTGGATCTCACAGAGAATGTAAACAAACTGGGTGGGGCGCGGTGACCTTATTAGAAAGTCAGGTGGGGGGAGCCGTATAGTGAGTTTTGATCATAATTTGAAATGACCGTATTAGCGGAACGCCGTAAAGCGAAATGCCGTAAAGTGGGGCCCTACTGTATGTAAAATATGCAATAACTTTAAAACACTCAAAATTTTGGAAAGTTTCCAGACATAATGGAGAGACATGAGGCTCATGGAGGATGTAAACAGTGACACATGGAGACCACATTAGCGAGGTGGGGAGCGGAGCCGTATAACGAATTTTGGTCATAACTTGAAATGTCCGTATTAGTGAAATGCCGTAAAGTGGGACCCTACTGTATGTGTTCATTTGGCTTAGGATTGATAGATTCTTTTATTTTGTTCAAGTTTATCAAGAAATATGGATTTTAAAATTGCTATTATCCTCCTGTATTTTTTATTATGTATTATTATTTTCTCGGCTTTTAATTAATCAAATGAATTTATCTTGTGTGTATGTTTATTTGCTGTAAGTGTGTTTATTTAGTAAAATTTGGTCAAGAAAGATGGACTTTAAAACTACATCTGTGCATATGGAAAACTTATGAATACTGTATATATTTTTATATTCTTGTTTTTACTCTCTTGGGAATATGTAGGAACAAGTATTCTACTCTTCAAAACACAGGACTTGACCTTACCTTGGCTTCCTCTTGACCTCTTCACTTGACTTGTCTTTTGGCTTTCTCCACTACCCTTTGGGCTTTGCTTTTCTCTCTCACTTATTATTGGTGTAGGATGCACAAAAATGTTGTCTAAAGTGTCCTCTCCAAATTATGCATTAGCTCTGAATTCAGATACTTGGATATACTGTAATTTCACTACATGCATTCAAATTTTATCTACTTTTGTTTCTCTAAATAACAACGAACAAAAATCAATATTATTTCTTAATGACATTTTTCATTCTCCAGGAGAATGTCAGACATATTGGAGGATGTGACCGTGGCACTGGCAGTGGCAGATTCCAAAGGTCACGGGGTAATTTCCTTCGGCAAGGCTCCCTTCAAAGTCACAAGTCACAACAAGAAAGTGATAGTGGTAGCGAAATTGACTCAAGAGAATTCAGGGAACATCGAACTTGGAGAAAACCAGGTAGACATTTCAGAAATCGCCCAGGTAGAGGCAACAGAAGAGGGGCCAACACAAGACAGTGTGGATATAGTGGTAATTACAATAGTGATAACCATTCTACAGATGGTGTCTCTATTAATCGTGAAGAAGAGAACTGTTCACCAAGAGGTTTCCATGGTGATCGAAGTGAAGGGATCAGGCCTTGGCTCCTGGTAGAAGCTTTATCAGAATGTCCTGGTTTTCGAGCCAGTCTTCTGCAGCTTTTCGAATGGAAAAATATGCATCCAACAGCTGTACGTGAAGTTGTGATGAGCAATGGACAAATCTTTTCTCTAAATGGAGAATCTGTAGAGCTCTCTCCCAAAATAAGTATCTGTTCTGCTCATTCAGGATCTCAAGGGTGCCAAAATCGTTTGTTATGCAAGGACCTGCACATATGTCCCATTTATGTCAAAAGTTGGTGTCAAGACAGGAGCTGTGTATTTGGCCACAAATGGTTCACAGAACATAATACAGCCATTTTCCAGAGCTTTTACCTTGAACGTTTACCATATCAGTCTATTAAAAATCTTATGATGGGTCTAACGAAGGCTAATAAACCCAGTGGACAGTTGGATGTATGCCTTCACTATAATGGAAAAGGCTGTAGTAATACGAATTGTGGTGCTTTGCACATTTGTCACAATTTCTTAACAAAGTGCACACTCCCTGGATGCCGGCTTAATCATGACTTGCTCAGTCCTGAGTGTTGCAACTTATTGAGAGCTCATGGCTTTTCCACTAATGAGGCCCCACGAGATGTAGCTCTGGCTCTGCATGCAGCTAATCCTTCCCTAGCAAGTGCAAACCCTGCAAGACTACCATCAACAGCAACATCTACATCATCTAAAACTCCTGCCACTATTGCATCTATTTCTAATGATAATCAGCAAGGTACAGGGGCTACAGCAGATGGTAAGAGTAATGGTACAGGTATTTTTTCTTTGTTAAAACAAAAAATTATTACAGGTTCATCAGATAAGCATGATGATGCAGGTTTATTACCCCACAAAAATAGAGGTGATTCAGCAAATAGAAACAATATTGGTGCTTCAGATGGTGATCAAAAGAATGCCACAAAAAGAAAAGATGGAACAGACAGAGCTGTAAGAAACAGTAAAAATGATAGAGATTCTGCTAGTAACAAGTTTTCACCAGTTGTGAAGACTGAGAAACACCAGACAGTTTGGTCCCATTATCTCTTTGGTGACACAGAAATCAATGAAATTTGTTTCTATTCAGTCGAAACCATGTGCAAATATGAGAGTACTGGTTGCAAGAGACTCCATTCTGCTCATCATTTCCATTGGCAAATCAGTGAACAGGGAAGCAAATGGCTCAACCTGCGATCCTTCCAGGTAGATTGCCTTGAACGAGCATTCTGTGATCCAGCTAAAGATGGAGAAACTGTTCCACGTCTGGATCCAGCAAAACTTGATCCATCAGTAAATAAACTTCTTACTGTACTGGGTCGTGATAATTGGCAAGCTAATTTCCAGTCAATGATTATGGCTAATTCTAACCACTCTAAAATACTTTATTTACGGAGGTTGTGTACAGAGCATATTGCAGGAAAGCAAATTAAACCAAATATTTACCAGTGGTTCTTCTTAGACAAAAACAAAAAGTGGGTTAAATATGGCAATGTTGATACTGCAAATGAAACTAATTTAGTGAGTAGTGTTGCATCAAATGATATTGAGAAGCATTTCCTAAAGAACCAATATGTTCCTTTAACATTCCAAAATGCATCCTTCTCTTACACCTTGGACTTTGTTGCTATGACCCAAACAAACCAGAGTACTAAAGTAATACGGGATGTACGCCGCCGCCCTGAGCCTCACCTCAAAGATGAAAAGCAAGCAAATGGGAGTAATGTGTCTACTGGAAAAACCACTGAAAGCCTACCATCTACCTGGGATCCAATGCAACCAGAAGAACGTTTCCGTCTCATTGCTCTATCACCTACTTCTACTGAATATCAGACTGTCTTGGGACTTTTAAAGGGTCGGGTTGCAAACACCAACATCACAAAAATAGAGAGAATTCAGAATCCCTTCTTATGGAAAGCATTGCAGAATAAGATTAAAGAGATGACAACAGTGTATGGCGACATAAAAAAGGTGGATGTTCGACAAGTATTTCATGGTACACGACCAGATGTAATATCTAGTATTTGTGCTGAGAACTTTGACTGGAGACTTCATGGAAGCAGTACTGGCCAGGCTCAAGGTCGTGGTACTTACTTCTCTCCAGATGCTGCAACTTCATATGGTTATTGTAGAGCAGATTCTGCTGGTTTGAAATATATGTTTGTTGCTCGTGTAGCAGTTGGATCAATTACACCAGGAAATGCTTCAATGGCCAGACCCCCTATCAACCCCACCACAAATGCGCCATATGATTCTACTGGTGATGGGGTTTCTGTAATAGTTAAATATGACAAACAAGAGTACTACCCTGAGTATGTTCTTACACTGAGATGAATTATTTACACTTCAATAATTTGGTAATCTTTGCATATGCATAAGTTTCTGATTGAGGTACATGTATATATATTACAGGAAGACCTCATTTAACATTGGAATTACATTTCTGAAATCACTTCTTTATGTACCTCTTCATGAGGGGACTCCTTGCTGTGGCAAAGAGGCTCTTGGTCTGAGGAATTGGACCCTTCGGTCTTCTTCCTCTGACCAAACCTAGTTACCTCACAGTCTTTCCTTTCCCTCTTCCATCCTCCCCATGCCTCCTTTGCCATTCCTCCTCCTCTCCCCATCTCTTCCCCTTTCCCTTTCTTGTTTTCAGCCTTTGGGGTTCTTCCCTCAGGCATTCTAGTTCCTAGGTTGGGGGAAAGGTACAATGGTCCATCCCATTCCATTGAGATCCTTAGTGGTAGTGTAGTTTACTGTGGAATCTGGATTGTCTGGAGATCCCAGTCCCTCTCCAATCTTCCAGGGAAGGCTTTGGAAGTCTTTCAGGTGACGGGTGTATCTCCGGAAGCTGCCTGTTGGATTCCAGGTGGTGGTGGCTGAAGGAGGTATACTTTGTGGAGGGTTTCCAACCACCCTTTCTTGTCCACCGAGCTGGCTCTGTAGATGTGAGGTTGCTATCCCAGATTGCATGAAGGGTAGGGTATGGCATGGCACTGCACGGGTTCCATGTCACATCTGCACTACCAGCTGCACTGTGGTCCTCTTGGGTGCAGAGGGGGATTTATGGCCCTTTCATTCCTCCTAGGAGCTACCCCTCGATGTTCTCCCACTTTATTTTTTCTTTTTCATTTTTTTCTTAAAAACAAAAAGAAAAGAGTGACCTAACCATAGCATCCCAAATCCATGAAACTGCTCTTCCTGGGCCCCATTCTGTAGCAGCACCCTCTTACAACCCTGCCTTGTTACTGGACCATCCTATATCTTCTGTGGGTGACATTTTGTCACATGCTCCTGATACTGAGACTAAGCCTGACTCCTTTGATACATCCGACCTCTGCACATCTTTGACCACCTCCGGTCATGCATGTAAATGACCATGACCTTTGATGACACTGCTTCGAATGCCTCTCACTCTACTCAGAAAAGACCAATGCAACAGTTGCTTCCTTTACATACTACACATCATAGTACACAATGGACTAAGCTTTTCACTCTGCAGTTGACATCTTCCTCAGACTATCTTTCTGATAATAGTATCAACAAGGCACTCCTATGCCATGTTGGTCAAAATATTCCATTTCATGCTCTCAATGGTGGTGTATGCATCGTCATGGTACAAAATGCCAGCCAAGCTCATAATCTTTCTCTCCTTACTGCCATAGATGCTATTCCTGTAACAATTCAAAAATACCATTCTCTCAATTCTTGTAGTGGTACTGTCATTCTACCTCATACCATTGTTCAGCTTAATTTCCAGACACATGATGACAACATTCTGGAACAGCTTGAGCTCCAAGACCTACCAGTTCTTAAAGTAGACATGTATGTATTACCCTCCCAATTCTCAAAGTAGACACATATGTACTACCTGCTGCAAGTGAAGATGCTACCCCTGCAATGTAGCTCACTTTACTTTTGACTGCCATGAGCTTCTATTCTCAGTTTATATCACAGGACACCGTTTGCGAGTCCGAAAGTTGATCCCTACACCACAACAGTGTAAAAATTGCTGGCTTTTTGGCCATCCAGCAAAATATTGCAGGTCTATGGCAGAATGCTCAGTCTGTGGTGCCAACGACCATACCAGTACGTCTTATAGTCTACCTTCCTCTTGCCTTAACCCTTTGACTGTTTCGGTCATATATATATGTCTTACGAGCCAGTGTTTCGGACGTATATATGCGCAATAATTCTAGCAGCTTCAAATCAAGCAGGAGAATGCTGGTAGGCCCACATGTAACAGAATGGGTCTGTGTAGTCAGTGTGCACTGTATAAAAAAATCCTGCAGCATGCAGTGCATAATGAGAAAAAAAAAACTCCGACCGTGTTTTTGGATTAAAATGCCGACTTTGAGGTGTGTTTTTGATGTATTTTCGTATATTATTTATGGTTGTATTCTTGTTTTCTTGGTCTCATTTTATAGAATGGAAAACATATTACAGAAACAGAGCTGATTTTGATTAGTTTCACGACGAAAGCGACCTTGAAATTGAGCTCAGAGTAGAGGAAATGTTCAATTTTTACAAATCTTCAAGAGTAAGCAAATCACACCACACGTCCAATACACGTCAACTGGGGAGTCTGATATTCTTTCATTAGTGCACTTATATTTTTTATACCATTTTTACAATAATGCAGTAGTCTGCATATAAGTAATTCTTATATTTTTTGTGTGCATAAAAAATAAAAATAGAAAGCAAGAATTATATAAGAGGAGGCTGGAGAAGTGACTAATGAACAGAGGACATGTTATTTTAGTGCCAAGGATGTCTGCATTGTTTATTTTGGACCCTATTTTGAAATTGGCATCTTTTTTAACCCTTTGACTGTTTCAGTCGTATATATATGTCTTACGAGCCACCGTGTTTGACGTATATATACTCATAAATTCTAGCGGCTTCAAATCAAGCAGGAGAAAGCTGGTAGGCCCACATGTGAGAGAATGGCTCTGTGTGGTCAGTGTGCACCATATAAAAAAAATCCTGCAGCACGCAGTGTACAATGAGGAAAAAAAACTGACTTTTTTTTTTTATTAAAATGCCGACTTTGTGGTCTATTTTTGTATAGTATTCATGGTTGTATTCTCGTTTTCTTGGTCTCATTTGATTGAATGGAAAACATATTATAGAAATAGAGGTGATTTTGATTGGTTTTACTATAAAAAGAACATGGAAATGGAGCTCTAAGTAGGGGAAATGCTTAAATTTGCCGATGTTCAAAAGTAAACAAATGATGTCATTGTCCAATAAATGTCCAACTAGCCATTCTAATATGCAGTCATGAATGGTTGACATTATTTATACAATTATTACAGTATTGCAGTAGTCTGCATAACAGTAAATCTTCTATTTTTTGTTTGAATAAAAATTCAAGACAGAAAGCAAGAGTAATATCAGAGGGGCCTGGAGACGTGACTGATGAACAAAGAAAATGTTATTTTAGAGCCAGGAATGTCTGCATTGTTCATTCTGGACCCTATTTTGAAATTGTCATATTTTTTAATTTTTGTGAAATTGGCCAAATTGCAAATTTCTGACCATGTTATTGGGTAGTTGAAATCAGTAAATGGGCAGTTTCTTGTACTCAATCGATAGAAAAAATGGAGTTCTAAAGAAATAGCTATGAGTTTGGTCGACTGGAACAAGGGAATTAGCCGAAAATGGCTCGAAGTGGGCGAAATCGCCCACCTTCAGTTTTCCATCAAATTTCATTCTTTTGTGTCATTACAATTGGGAAAAGATTCTCTGTCATTTCATAAGATTTTTTTTTTTTTTTTTTTTTTTTTTTTTTTTTTTTTTTTTTTTTAGTTTTTTTTTTTTTTTTTTTTTTTAGTTTTTTAGTTTTTTGCGACACCAGGAGACACCTCAGGATTTGAGATTGCGACAGTCAAGGGGTTAATTTGCGTGAACTTGGCCAAATTGCCAATTTCTGATCACTTTATTGGGTAGTTGAAATCGGCAAATGGGTGTTTTATTGTACAGTGGACCCCCGGTTAACGATATTTTTTCACTCCATAAGTATGTTCAGGTGCCAGTACTGACCGAATTTATTCCCATAAGGAATATTGTGAAGTAGATTAGTCCATTTCAGACCCCCAAACATACACGTACAAACGCACTTACATAAATACACTTACATAATTGGTCGCATTCGGAGGTAATCGTTATGCGGGGGTCCACTGTACTCAGTTGATAGAGATAATAGAGTTCTAAAGAAATAGCTATGAGTTTGGTCAACTTGAACAATGGAATTGGCTGAAAATAGGGCTCAAATTCAGTGAAACCGTCGAAGCATATATATCGATAACTTCGCAGGAGTGTAATTCCGTAAGTTTTCAATCAAATTTCATACTTTTGGTGTCATTACCATCGGAAAAAGATTCTCTGTCATTTCATAAGAAAAACATATTTTTTTTTTTTTTTTTCAAAACATTTTTCGACATAGAATGACAGTTTCAGAAAGGTTAATTGTAATGAAGCTCACCCATCTTATTCTCGTCATTGCCAAGTTTACTTAGATGAATGAGAAATCCATTGTCTCAGAGACTGAAGACTTATGCCATGGCAGTCTCTCGTCTACTCCTCCAGAGGATACTTCCCCATATTTCTTATTCTCGAGTTACTAAGAGGCCTCCAACCTCTGGGGTCTCAACTCCCGCAGTCTTCCCTGTGGTCACACCTTCCACAGTCACCTCTGTATCTAATTCTTTTGCAGTCCTGGTCTCCAAGGTCCCTAAATCATCACCTCATGCTGTTCTCGAATCTTCATCTTCTCACTCACATGTTTCTATGTCTACAAGACCTCACACAACAGTTTTTTCCCTTTGCCCCTTACTTCTCCAAAGTCCAAACATTCCCCAAGTGTAAATCTCCTTTAACATCTTCACTTATCCTACGCAGACTTGCTTTATCTTCTTTCCTTGCTGACGGATCTACCTTTGACTCAGATTCCCTCTTTGACTTTTTGACAGCAACTGATTTACTAAAACTTTGATGATACTTCCTCTAGCACTCCTCACAGCCCTTTTTAACTCTCCTTCTGTTGTCCACTCCACTCTTGCTACTCTATAATCCTGTACTATCCCCTGCCCCACTGTGCTGTATGACCCTTGTAGGTTTAGCACTTCTTTTTGATTATAAAAATGCTTTATGTAATTTCACTGTGTGTAATGTGAATAATATATATGAAGAAGTGGGTTCATGACAGTTCCAAAAATGCTATTCTTTTTTTTTTTTTATTATTTTGTTAAAAATAATGAAGTTTTTGGCTAAATACATTTTAGATGTCATTGCTTGTTGGTCTACAAATGTATAATTATGTACCCAAATTCTAAATGTAAACTTAATTACTAAATAAAATTACATAAAAAGACTTGTGGGGAGCTGATATTTGACACAGTATACTGTCTTATTTCTTCCAAAAAAAAAAAAAATAGGCATGGCACTCCTAGAGAGAATGGAGATGGTTAATACACTGCTAGTTACCACCACTATAAATTTAATACACAATCTTACCAGTACAGTGGACCCCCGACATTCGATATTAATCCGTTCCTGAGAGCCATCGAATGTCGAAAATATCAAAAGTCGAATTAATTTTCCCCATAAGAAATAATGGAAATCAAATTAATCCGTGCAAAACACCCAAAAGTATGAAAAAAAAAATTTACCACATGAAATATTAAGTTTAATTCAATAGAATAATTACAATAACAACAATAACAATAGAATAATTGACACTTACCTTTAATGAAGATCTGGTGATGATTGATGGGATGGGAGGAGGGGAGAGTGGATGGTATTTAGAAGGGGAATCCCCTTCCATTAGGACTTGAACTGGCAACCTCACCATGCCTTACCACACTGTGTATGCCACTACTATTCTTAAACCTTTGCTGACCTTATATTCACTCACATCACCACTAGTTGCAGGCAATTTCTTTACTAAATCATCATGCACTCCGACACACGCACTCCACTTTCGTACTTGGCAATTATCTCTTTCTTCATTTCAATAGTCATTAGTACCTCTTTTCTCGAAGGGTTGGCACTAGAAGCTTTCTTGGGGCCCATGGTTACTTATTTTGCAGAAACAAGCACCAAAAACAGTGATAATATGGATAATATGGAATGTACCGAATGTATCCTTAGATGCGCGCACACTGGCTGGCTTGTAAACACTGGCATACACGGGGCAGTTCAGGCCACACGTGGACATGTCTCGTATGAATCGTATCGAATGTCGGGTTTTCCATCGAATGTCGAGGCGAAATTTTTGCGTTAAAATGTATCGAATGTCGGATTTATCGAATGTTGATGCCATCGAATGTCGGGGGTCCACTGTATAAAATTTGCTTAAAAAGTAACAAGAGTTTTATCCTACCTTAACTTCTTTGCTTCTCTTGCTTATTGGTGTAATAGGGATAACGAAGAATTTTATCATAGTTTAAATTCCTTGTTTTATTGCTTGTTGATAAAGAAGCATATAGAGATGGTTACCTGAGTAGTGAGGTAGACGGCTACCAGACATGTTTGTTCCATCAGCTGACTCGACTCTTACATTTCATCACACAATTCACTATACAATTTTCTAATAAGAGTGACAAGGAAGAATTTAATTATACATAACTTAAATTCTTTATTCTATTGTTGGTTAATAAATAAGTGATTGGAGATGTTTGAGTATTGAGCAGTAGATGGCTGTGAGCCATCTGTTTACGTTGAATCAGCTAACAGCTGTAAATTGGTTTTGTGTTGATGTTAAGAGAGCTAGTGCAACATGTGCTATATTGAGCCATAGTCAGCAGTCAGCTTTCCCCAGGTTATATAAATCTCTGATCAGAAATGTTTTCATGCCTGAACCACTGTTTTAAAACTTTTATGCTGTGTAAACTCAAGCAAAACCACATTCTATTTTTTTAATGTAAAAATTATTAGCATTCTATTAAAAATGTGCTACATAGGCACATGCTATGAGAGGTCTACCTGTACCATAAAAGTTTATATTTTTAGATAAATTGTTTTACTAAAGGATCTTTTCTAGTTTTATAGGATGACCACAATATGATTGCTGTTGCTAGCTGTCTAGAACTAACTGTTGTGTTGAGAACTGACTCAGCATACTAGTTTTACAGTTTGAGAAGAATGCCTTGATGCTGACAAAGGGCTCATGATCCAAGGAATTAGAGCTACTCTCTCCTTGGATCAAATCTGATTACCTCTCATTTGTTAGGTACAGTATGACCACCTACAGGTTAAGGGTTTCCCTGTGATTAAATCGGAAACCTACACCATTAACAAATAATGGTGTGCCATCATCACTAGTAAATACAGTAAACCATCAAGTGCCATGGTTACATATTTGAAAATCAACGTTTTGAGTAAAATTACATTAAAAAACCTACCATGTAAAAAAAATAATTCAAGTTATCTTTCCTTACATTTTAGGTGTCATTGCTTGCTGATATGGAAGCATGTGGAGAGTGTTGATATGGTACTACTGGGGTGAGATGGCTGGCTGTGATTCTTAGTGTTGATGCAGATGTAGATTAGTCGATTATTAATGGTTGTGTTGAAGTAGTCTAGTATTTGTAATACATCTCTAGTCTGTTTTACCCCACAGTATTTTGTGCAGCTGATGATAAGGCATTATTGTGTGCTCCGAAATTCTCTTCAGAGTGGTGCTTCTAGATGTGTCAAGGTCCTCTGCAGTTAAAATGTTTGCAGTTTTTCCATAACCATGGAACTTGCTCACACAACTATTGCAGTGATAGCTGTTTATATACAGGTTCTTCTACTTCTTCTATTATCTACCTTCATCCTAACTGAGAATTGGGTTCCAGCATTTCTCCTGCAGTTCATTTACATAGTCTTCAAAGTTCTCATGCTCAGTCCTTGCCAGTCACAATTTTCTGAAAAAAAAAACAAAGAAAGTATTCACTGCAGAAGACCATAATTTACAGCCTGCATTTATGGTTGTTTGGGGAACTTCATGCCATGACATTTTTATATGATTAAATGCATCTACAATGTTAAATTCATGCCAGAACTTATGGCACACGAGTCTTGAAGATGTCGTCCATTGCTGGGATGAGTTTGTCTATTACCTTGCTTAGGAAGAAGCACTTTAATTGTCTTAATAATTATTCAGTCCAGTGGCTGTTTCAGTGATTTCACATTGGGTGGTAAAAAACAACCTTTTGCATTTAGGTTCATATATTGCAAGATTTGAGGATAGCTAAAAGAACTCTCAAGAGTGGCAAACATTGAACACAGGATGCTTTTTAGCCAGGTAGATCTTGAATACAGGAATAAAATTTGTTTGAATCATTCAACAAACAGGACCTGGATCATCCATGCTAAATAATAGGCAAACAGTTTCTGTTGTGACCTTTTAAAGTATGAATCTGCACTATAAATTAGCATAGGCTTGCATTGAAATCACTTGTTGAATTATTGTTGAGAAGCAAGCTGAAGAGATCTTTAGCTGACTTGAAACTAGGTGTAAATTTTTCTTGATTGTAATGTAAGCTCTTGATAGCACATGCTTTCAGAATGCTTTGTCTCATCATTTATTAAACGCTTGCTCAGGACTAATTATTCTCCAAAATAATTTGCACAAAATCAGAAGAGAAATTGCCTGCAGCAACATGATCAGATGATGCACTCTCACCACTCAGCTCATTATGAAAGAGATTGTGCTTTTAAAGTTTGCTGAACCATGCACCAGTAAACTTATACTATTGTGAAGGTTGTTCTTGTTTTCTCCTCAGTTCACATATTAGATTTACAGACTTGTTTAGTTGGCTTGACCTCTTTGTCATTCTTTTTGGCACATCACTAGTCATTTCACAAGCTCCTATTTTCTTGTTACTGTTTCTGTTTTTACGAATGGATGATATTCTAAGACTAAAAGAATAAGAAATCTCCATCACACATGCTTGCCTTGCAAGCATATCAAATTCTCCCTTTCTTCAGTACCATCAGAGCCTCCTGTATATGTCTATACTTAGTACCTCTAACATCACTTATTATTCCTCTTGAGTTCCCTTGGTTAATATCCTCTTTAACCCTTAAACGGTCCAAACAGATCGATGTTCAAATTCATAGTGCTACAAAAGTAGATCTACTTTTTTTTGCATATTTTCAAATGTAACAAAAAAATGTAGATAAAAGTTTTTTTTACACGTTTTCAGATGTAAAACAAAAAAGATCTACATTTTTTTACATACTTTCAGATGTTGAAAAAATGTATATATACGTTTGGACCATTTAAGGGTTAACTGATGGTTTACTGTATTCAGTTTTTAAGAATAAAAATAAAGACAAAAAAATTAAAATATGCTTTGGCAGTCAATTTATAAAGGTTTTTATATGCTGTATACCCACAATGCACTACTATCCTACGATGAGAATGTACAACAGGAACTTGTTAAGCATTTTGCATTATGATTAGTGGTCTTTTCATTGTGTTGCATAATCTGTAGGATACCAGGTATATCTTGCAAAAAATTATATACATTTATTATGTGCTTTATTTTGAATTCTCAGTCTTAATATTTCTTATTTGTGTACCACCTCATTCACAGTTCTCATAGCTCAGGGCAATTCAGTGTTCATTTCCTCTTCTTCAATTTATTAATTTCACCATATATTGATATATTAATTGTACAACTGACTGTTGCATAACATGGTAGTTACATTCCTGAAAATGGACTGTAATAAAAAAATGTGTAAAATGAAATGAAGAACATATGGGAAAATAGGGTTATATTCCACAAAACCCCAGACAAACCTTTCAAATTTATTTTAGGTCACAAAATTGCAAATTGTTGGTTGATGTAGTGATGTGTTTGTCAAAGATCCTGTAGCCACATTTCTACTAGCAGACAGAGTTGCCTTTTTGCTTGGTTGTCTTCCTCATTGCAACTGCATTGGATTATATAGGAGGGATTAGAGTGGTTGGGGTGTACATGGGAGGGGGATAGGGTGGTTGGGGTTTGGTGTAGGGGTGGGGGAGTGCTGGTGTGGGAGGTGGAGACCAAGCAGTGGAAGGTTGGAGTCTGGTGTTGAAAGGTGGAGGATGCTGAGTGGTGGAGGGTTGTGGGGGCTGGAGTTTGTAAGCTAGCAGCAGCAAGGCAGTGTGGTGGTGGTTGTGTGGGTGCTAGTGTCAGTGACCTGGTGTAAGTGGTTGGTAGCTACATGATTAGGTGTGTGGAGAGCATGTTAGGATGTGTGGGTCATGAAAGCATGGGTAAGGTGTGGGTGTGGGGCTATGTTGGCTTGAAGTTGTAGGGAAATGGTATGAGTTGAGGCTCTGTAGGGTTCAAGCCATGGAAGGAGGTGAGCAGGTAGATGAAAGGTGTAGTTGAGTCAGTGGCCCAGTGTAGATGGTGGTGTGGATAATGGGTAGGTGAGTTTGTGGTTGGTACTGTGAACGATGACCTTCCCTGTAAGACTTACAAGGTTTTTCTGCCTAATCAGCCAGGCTTTCCTGGTGACTGCCTAATCAGCCAGGTTTTCCTGGTGACTGCCTAATCAGCCAAGCTTTCCTGGTAACTGCCTAATCAGCCAGACTTGCTGCAGCCCTTATGTCAAAATAGTCATCACAGCCTGGCTGATAAGGCACCTGCAGTAGCTTTTTTAGTATTAACTTGATACCAGAAAATTTTTCATGTATATTGGTAGAGGGTGAATAGTTCTGGACCTCACCTGTTGAGTTAGTGTTCTCTGATTATTCAGAACATCCCATTGTATAATATGAATTTTAAACTGTATATAATCTTTGCACTTTGAGATATACAATACTCAGTCCTTTGAAATATCTTATTTATTAGGTGGTTTATTCTTTTCATGTGTACTAAAATATTAGGGTTCATAAAATTCAGACTTTCACTTTCAGTTCATTCTAAAGATGGTTTAATAGATTAAGTTAGAATTTTGTAAATTCGTATTTTTCATTTGTGTGCTGCAGAAGTGTGTGAGACATAATGGGTTACAAGGAAATTTAATCATTTTATAAAATGCTCTTTTGTTAATATTTCTGTAGTCTGTATTAAGAGAGTTTATCTAAACTAATAAAAATCATAACATACCCAGGAGTTTATAAGTTAATTCTTAATTCATTTAGATCCTTTGAATATATATATTTGGACATACGACGGGCTCTCTGACCAGTATGCATACCTAAATAATGTATGTTAGAGCTGATTTCCTCTGTTCTGTGTACTACAATATACAGTACACTGCTGTATAAACATTTAAAAATATACCAGAAATGTTATAAATGATACAAAGGTGACATTAAAACAATATCTAAAGATGGTTGACACAAACCCACTACCAGTACAGTATGATTCTCGCTTAAAGACCAATTCATTTACCGACCTATTCTTAGGAATGGAACTCTGTCCTTAAGTGCCTCTTCAAGGGGGGTTCCTTGTTGTGGTGAAGAGGCTCTTGGTCTGAGGAATTAGACCTGTCTGTCTCCTTCCTCAGACCGAACCTAATTACCCCCCAGTCCCCCCTTCCCTATCCCATCCTCCCCATCCTCCCCTTTTTCCTTTCCTCCTCCTCCTCCCCACCTCTCCCTTTTGCCCTTCCTCTTTTTGGCCTTTGGGATTTCTCCCACAGATGCGCTAGTTCCTAGGTAGGGGAAAGGATACTGGGGTCCATCCCATTCCGTTGAGGTTCTTGGTGGTGGCGTAGTTTGCCGTGGAATCTGGATCGCCTGGGGATGTCCTGATCCCTCTCCAGTATCCCAGAGTGTAGCTTTGGGTGTCTTTCAGGTGACGGGTGTATTTCTGGAAGCCTCCTTTCGGATTCCGGGGGTGGTGGCCGAAGGAGGTATGCTTTGTGGCGGATATCCATCCGCCCTCTCTTTTGTCCACCGCTCGGCAGATGTGAGGTTGCTATCCCGGATTGCTGGTTTACTGGCATGAAGGGTAGGGTATGGCACGGGTTTCATGCTGCATCTGCGCTACTGGTGCTGAGGTCCTCTTGGGCGCGGAGGGAGATTTCCGGCCCTTTCATTCCTCCTGGGAACTATTCCTCCCTGCTCCCCCCTTTTTTTTATTCTTTTTTATTTTTATTTTCTTCTTTCTTTTTTTTTCTTAAAAACAAAAAGCAAAGGAGTAACCTAACCATGGAGAACCCAATCCATGAACCCACTACCCCCGGGCCCCTTCTTGATACCACACCCCATTCTGACCCTGCCTTGTTTTTAGACCACTCTTCGGACACTCCTGATGCCCCTGTACCTCTTGCTGGTGCTGTTTCCTCATCGGCTTCAGGTACCTGGGCTACGACTGACTCCTTCGATTTGTCTGACCTCCGCTCTCCTTTGACTATGCTTCCGGCCTCTCCCTCTACGGTACAGCAATTTTCGAATTGCCAGCCCGTTTCACGACAGACCAACTCCGGTCCTACTCCTAAACGCCAGCGTCAATCTTCTGATGATGTTCCTTCGTTACCTTCCCATTCTACTCGGAAACAACCGACAGGTCATGCACTCCCTCTCCACGCTCAGTTTCGGACCACACAATGGACTAAATTCTTTACTTTAAGACCAACTTCTAATTCTGCCTATCTTTCTGACCATAGTATTGGCAAAGTGCTCCTGCGTCATGTTGGTAGAGATATTTCATTTCATGCTCTCAAGAGCGGTACGCGCATTGTCACTGTCCAGAATGCTACCCAAGCTCATGATCTTTCTCTCCTTTCGCATAACGATACTACTCCTATCACTATTGAAAAACATCTTTCTCTCAATTCTTGTAGTGGTACTGTCATTCTGCCCCATACCATAGTCCAACAGAATTTCCAGTCATGTGGCAATGACATTCTTGAACAGCTGGAACTCCAGGATCTCCCAATCCTCAAAGTAGACATGTCCTTCCTGCCCGCGGGCGGAGACGTTACCCTTGCAATGTGGCTCGATTAACTTTCGACAGCCGTGAACTCCCGTCTTCTGTTTGTCGCAGGACATCGATTACAAGTTTGACAGGTGATCCCTACACCGCAACAGTGTAGAAATTGCTGGCGTTTTGGTCACCCAGCAAAATATTGCAGATCTATAGCCGAATGCCCAGTCTGTGGTGCGGACGACCATTCTAATGCATTTTGCAGTCAACCTCCATCTTGCCTTAATTGTAAAGAGGCTCGCCCTTCGTACTCTCGCCGTTGCCAGGTCTACTTGAATGAGCGTGAAATCCGTTGCCTCAAAGAGGCAGAAGGTCTCCCTTATGCTATGGCAGTTACTCATCTCCACCTCCAAGGGAGACTACCCTGTGTTTCTTATTCTCGTGTTTCAAAACGTCCCCCCACTTCTGGGGTCCCATCTTCTGCAGCCTCCTCTGTTGTTGCCCCTCCCATAACCACTCCAGCATCTAATCCTTTTGCTGTCCTTGGCTCTGACGTCCCGACTACAACTCAGTCTGTTCTCACATCTTCGCGTCCTTCCTCACAAGCCCCAGTATCGACAAGACCCCGTACGACACCTTATACCAATCGCCCCTCTACTTCCCAGAAGTCCACAAAATCCCCAGTGCTCAAATCTTCTTTGCCCCTTCCTTCCCTTCTTCCACCTCTGCACTTTATCTTTCCAGTCTCTGTGTCTAGTTCTTCCCCTCTCTCTGGCTCTATTACAAGTGTGGAGGTTCACCCTCCTCCTCGTACTATACCTTCCACCCCTGTCCCCTCCCAAGTTTCCCCCTCTTCTGCCACCTCCCAGGTTTCTGCCTCTTCTGTCCCCTCCCACACTTCTACAGTTCCCTACACTCTTTCATCCCCCTCTACTTTGGTACAGTCCATTACTGTCCCAATCTTTGCTCAGCCTCCTCCTTCTACCTCCAATATTGTCTCCGATACATCTTTGAATTCAGAAACACTTGAAGCCATTTCAGAATATATTGCAGAGACTAAACCTTCAATGGACACTGATCCACCTCCTACTCCCTCTCTTCCCTCTCCTCCATCTCCACAACTCCATTCTTCGCAATGCTCCGTTCCTTCGCTACTTGAACGTCTTCCAATGCCACCACACGTTGACTTTTCTAACCCCTCTAGTCCGTAGGTGCCCTTCCCTACGGATTCCTGGTATTTTCTTTATTGCCAATCATGGCCTATTTACAGTGGAATATCCGCGGCCTCAGGGGTAATCAGGGTGAGCTTCAGATGTTGCTTTCCAGGTTTTTCCCTGTTGGTGCTTGCTTACAAGAACCAAAATTACACTCGGCTGTTTTCCAACCTATGTCAGGCTATAATTTATTGTATTCTTCGGATCCTTTCTCAGATGGGACCTTTAATGAAAGTGCCCTTCTACGCAATGATATTCCGTACTGTCAACTATTTGTCCATACCTCGCTGCATTACACTGCAGCCCGTATCCACTTGACTAAGTGGTTTACAATATGTTCTTTATATCTCTCTCCTTCTCGAGCATTTTCTATCCCAGATTTTGCCTTTCTAGTTTCATCCTTACCACCACCGCTTCTGTTACTTGGTGATTTTAACGCCCACCATTTCCTCTGGGGGGGGGGTCTCATTGTGACTCACGAGGCATCCAGTTGGAGGCTTTTCTCGCCTCTCGCCCCCTCCATGTTTTAAATACGGGTACTCCCACCCTCCCACCCATTTTGATCCTCATACTCATACTCTCTCTTGCATCAATCTATCAGTCTGCTCTTCCTCCACTGCACTAGACTTCACCTGGTCTGTTCTACCGGACTTACATGACAGCGATCATTTTCCAATCTTACTTCTCCTTCCTATTCACCACCTTTCCGTAGCCCTCGCTGGCAATTTGATCGGGCAAATTGGGATCTTTACTTGCAACTCACTGCTTTTAGTGAGGTTCCTTCTTCATCCTCCATTGATGAGCCCCTACACCTCTTCTCGACATCAGTTTATACCGCAGCTTCTCATTCTATACCCCAAACCTCAGGCAGGCATTCTCAGAAGTGCATGCCTTGGTGGTCTCCTGCTTGTGCTCGTGCAGTACGTTTGAAACGCGCTGCATGGGGCAGGTACCGGTACAATAGAACCGCTGTGAGACTTCTTGATTTTAAGCAGAAGCGTGCGATCGCTCGCCATGTCATCCGTGAAGCTAAAGGCACTTGCTGGGGAGACTATGTTTCCACCATCACCTCTGCTTCTTCTATGAGTGCAGTCTGGAAAAAAGTGAGGAAATTGAGTGGTAAATACTCTCCTGACCTGGCTCCTGCTCTACGGGTCGCTGGTGTTGATGTAGCAAACCCTCTGGACGTTGCCATTGAACTTGGCACACATCTGGTCCGTATTTCCTGGGGGCTCCATCTATGCCCCTCGTTTCTTTCCTCAAAGTCTGCCAGAGAGTTAGTACCCTTGTACTTTTCTTCTCTCAGAGAACAGTATAATGTGCCTTTTACACTTCAAGAACTGGAGGCAACGCTCTCAGCTTGCCGATCATCGGCAGCTGGGCCTGACGACATTCATATTCGTATGTTACAACATTTACATCAGTCAGCCCTTGTAGTCCTCTTACACCTCTTCAATCTTATTTGGGCACAAGGAGTTCTTCCCCAGCTGTGGAAATCTGCCATTGTTCTCCCTTTCTGCAAACCGTGTACTACAGGACATGATGCCTCCCACTATCGTCCCATCGCTCGTACTAGTGCAGTTTGCAAAGTGATGGAACGTCTCGTAAATCGACGTTTAATGTGGTATTTAGAGACACACAACAGTCTCTCCGCTAGTCAATATGGCTTTCATAAGGGCCGTTCTACCATAGACCCCTTACTACGCTTGGATATGTATGTTCGTAATGCCTTTGCGAATAATCACTCAGTTATTGCCATATTTTTTGACCTTGAGAAGGCATATGACACAACTTGGAGGCATAATATTTTGACCCAGGCCTACTCCTTAGGCCTCCGAGGCAATCTACCATCCTTTCTTAAGAACTTTTTAACTGACAGACATTTCCATGTTCGAGTCAATAATGTTCTTTCCCCGGACTTTGTCCAAGCTGAAGGTGTCCCTCAGGGATGTGTTCTGAGCACAACACTTTTTCTCCTTGCTATAAATGATTTGGCCTCTGTTCTTCCATCCAACATTTGGTCATCACTCCATGTTGATGACTTCGCTATTGCTTGTGCAGGCGCTGACTGTCATCTCATTGCAGTTTCTCTCCAGCATGTGGTCGACCGTGTTTCCACTTGGGCCCCCACGCATGGGGTTTTAAAATTTTAAGTACCAAAACCA